TTTGTTTGCTCCTCGCAGGGCCATGCTGCGCCTCTCCTCTATGCTGCATGGACAGAAGCTGGTTTTATCAAGGAGGCTGAGCTGTTAAATTTGAGGAAAATAGACTCTGACCTGGAAGGCCACCCAACACCCGTAAGTACTCTTCTAAGAATAGTGCTGGGAATTTTGGGGAGTTTGGGGGGAGAGAATAACTTGACCTATCCAGTCAAAATACATACATACATACATACATACATACATACATACATACATACATACATACATACATACATACATACATACAAATAGATAGAACTTAGATGGTGTAAAAAGCTTTAAAAATGAGTTGCAGAAGATCAGCTTTTTAGGATGTAACAATAGTACTGTTGCTTCTTTCATGAAGACATCTGGATCACTTAGCCCATAAAATTGGCTTTGTTCTACTGTGCAAACTAATATTAAACATATGTATAACAAAACTGTGATTTTATGAGAGAGTTACAAACTGAATATATATTTTGTTGGAATACCAAAGCCCTAAAATAAGGTGTGTGTTTATATATTTATATTGGAAAAGACCCAGATTGTGTTTCTGTACAGAAAAGATAGAGGACAAAGGACTAATCTCATAAAGACTGTTTTCAGTGAAATACCCAACAGATTGTGTTGGTATTCATTCCATTTGTAAAACTCTTTCTTTTTGTTTTAACAGAGGCTGCCTTTTGTGGATGTGGCCACTGGTTCCTTGGGGCAGGGTCTGGGAGCTGCTTGTGGAATGGCCTATACAGGGAAATACTTCGATAAAACAAGGTGAGAAATCTGGAAAAAGCCTACATAATGAAGCCTGTTGCTTCTTTCACAAGAAAAGTTTCTTGCCTCTTTTTTTGTTTGCTCTACTGCAAAATCCACCTGATCAGAGAACTGCAAAGAATGTATGGTGAAAGAAACTTATCCTACATGTGCACGCGCACACACACAAACACTTGTTGGGACTCTTGTGTCTTGCTGTCTTCTAGTTACCGGGTTTACTGCCTACTGGGTGATGGTGAATCCTCTGAGGGATCAGTATGGGAAGCCCTACAATTTGCGTCACATTATCAATTGGATAATCTAGTGGCCATTATTGATGTGAACCGGCTGGGACAAAGTGAAGCAGCACCACTGGGCCATGATACAGATGTTTATCATAAGCGCTGTGAAGCCTTTGGGTAAGCATTGCTGGCTGTTTTTGTCCTAATTCCGGTAGGAAGCCTGCTGCCTTTTGCCCTAACCTTTTCCTCTTCTGCTAGATGGAATACCTGTGTTGTGGATGGTCATGATGTGGAGGAACTATGCCAGGCTTTATGGCAAGCAAGTCAACAGAAGGGGAAGCCCACCATGATTGTGGCCAAGACTTTCAAAGGACGGGGAATCCCAGGTGAAAGTAATCTCTGGATCTTGGGAATGGGAAAAGGGCAATAAGAGTCCTTGAATGTCACTTACTAATGTTCTCTGTTTTAGATGTGGAGAATGCTGACAATTGGCATGGAAAGCCCATTCCAAAAGACAAAGTGGAATCTGTTATCTCTACCATTCAGAGTGAAATCCAGACTAGTGATGTTTGTGCTATCCAGCCACCTGCTCAAGATGTGCCACCAGTCAATACTGTGGAGATCAAAATGCCTTCTTTACCTACCTATAATATAGGAGAAAAGGTACTGCATTGGCTAAGCAGATTTTTCTTTCAGTATCTGCAAGCACTCTTAACTATCCTTTCTCCCCCCTCCTTTTTTGTGCCATGCATCTTTTTCAAAAGGTCTGTGTGACATGGTCTGATGCAGAGCACTCACAAATTTCAGATTTAAATATTTTTTCTCCCTACACCCATAAGAAAGGACTNAAGGGTAGCCCCATGTGGAGCGCGTTGCAGTAATCCAGCCTCGAGGTGACAAGGGCGTGAATGACCGTTTGAAGTGCCTCCCGATCCAAATAGGGTCGCAATTGGTGCACCAGATGAACTTGGGCAAAGGGCCCCCTGGTCACAGCCGATAGATGATGTTCCATGTGGGCTATCTGGGATGTTCCATGTGGGCTATCTGGGTCAGGGGCCATATATCCTTTTCCTCATGTTGAGGTCCTCAGTGCAATATGTTTCCCTGATCTCACCAAATAGGTGGTCAAAGGCTCTTATAAACGTGATATCACACTTTTCAACTTCAGCAGTATATATTTCTCTTATATCGTATACAACAGAGGGCTACAATCAAAACATCAATTCAGCAGCCTGCTTATCAACCATTTGTCATATGCTCAAAGTGTCACTAAATACAAGAGCTCACCACACATTCTTTCTTCCCACCAAATGGTTGATTAGGAAACTGTCAAAAGTGAGACGGTAATCGGAATGGGACAACTTGCCCAACAGTTCTCCCAACATGGGAGAACTCAAGAGAGGGACAAGTAGAATTGCAGCTCATCCCAGCCTTGAGGACTACTAACTTGAGAAGGGTCAAACCTAAAGTGAAACAAGGCCTGCTGCAATTCAGTTGTGCCTCTCTTGAGTTCTCTCCCACTTTGAATTGTCTCGTGGCGAGTCAGCCGGGGCAAGAGGGCCGGGGCAGGCCGGCCACAGTAAGTTGTCCTAGACCTGATGGTAGTATATATTGGATAAATAATACTTGTAGACTATACTGGAGCCTTTGGGATTTTAGAAAGGCTGTAATTTTTCCTTCTTGTGATTTAATATGAAACTATAGATCTCTTTAACATATGAATTATCTGAACCCTATTAAGTCAAGTTGGGTTTGATTAATTGGCATTCATGCTGCTTAAGCTTGTAGTTTTCTCCTATAGAAAGAAGCACAGTCTCAACTACTCTATAAAAGAAGCTAGTGTACTGTATTTGTGTGCTTTTATTTGTTGATACTCAGAAACTAAGGCGATGCATGGGTAAAAGAGCTTCTATACAGTGGAAAGAAAAATAGATGCTTTTCTTCGAACACTCGGCACTAAACAAGAAAATAAGCACATCTTTACAAACTCCCTGTTTTAATATTTCTTGCTGACCCTCTGTTTCTCTGAATTTCTCTGAATGAGAAAGACAAAAGGTAGATGTTTGACTGCTGCTAAAATATGCAAACCTATTTCTTGATGAGAAAGGGAAGTGCATATATAACTTTGTAACTTGGAGTTACATAAAAAGTACATCTACTTTGTAACTCAAACTTTCATATGAAGCCTGTTAAAGGCAGCAGATTGCACCAAACATGCTCTGAGTGAAAATCTCCACTTATGTCCATCCCTTTTTCCTTCTCTCTCTCTAGGTGGTATTGGTGAAGCTGTGGCTGCAGCTGTCTCTGGAGAACCAGGTATTTTAGTCCAGAGTCTAGCTGTGTCAGGTGTGCCTCGGAGTGGAAAACCTGCTGAGCTCTTAGATCTCTTTGGGATCAGTGCAAAACACATAATAACAGCTGTGAAGAGCACCTTTGCCAATTGATTTGACAGGGATGAAGGAAAGAAGGGTTATGAAGTTATAAAAATGGATTCTAAAGGGCAGGGTGACAACTGTTTGGTTCTCTAGGTAGTCAAACCAAAAGTAATCTCTTATGATTCCAAAACATGCATTGTTTAACTTTTAATTTTTTAACAATTGCAATTAATATTAATTTCCTGGGTTTTAGACCAGTTTTTGAGTGCAAATAAGCTTGAATTGTTTTGTAACACAGTTCTCATCCTATCAGTATGTCATTCCTTCTAATAATTATCTAATTGCACATTAATTGGATCTAACTATTCTACATAGACGAGTAATGCTCATCTTATTTGAGTTTATGGTTACCTTTTCTTGTGCTTGATTCCTATCCTACTTGACTTTTTCCATCTTCAGCCTGGCATTCCAAAATTGAGTTGGGTAGATTTTCCATGGCCTATTTCCTGTTTGAAAGAGTTTATGCATAATTAGTTTTTAATTTAACAAAAATGCAAGTACCTCTTATGGGAATGTGATCATCTAAATTCTTCAAATATATATTACTAATGATACTGTCTTAAGATGTCTGGTGTAATTATTAAGTATGGAATGGTTCCAAGGAGATGCAGACGTAGCTCAGAGTGATTTGGGTCCATTCTTACTCTCTCAACCCAACCTACCTCACAAGTTGTTGGGAAAATGGAAACAGGAAGCTGCTTATATGCTGCTATGAGTTCCTGAAGGAAAGGAGGATATAAGCTTAACAAATAAGCAGACTTAAATATGACCAAGATAATCTTTCTGTATTACATGTGCTTTTACTGTCATCAAGCAAATCAATAAACTATTACTTTCTTGTTGATGATTTGTGTATTCATATTGGAAATACTTGCGTGAAGTATTTGTATAAAATATGTGAAATAGTGTGAGTAAGACTGAGTAAGATTTTACATGCAAAATTATTACTTTTTAAAAAAATTTCCTTTCTCCCTAATAGGAGCCTCATATTTCAGTGCAACTTTCTAAAATCTTTAGAATTTGTTCTAAAACAAATATATATACATTGTTTCCATTTGACTTTCTCAAATGGGAACAGCTAATGAATGATGCAATCTCTTTTAACAAGTTAGAAGCCATGTTCTGAACTTCTGGTTACTGCTATTCAGTGGTGGGTTTCAAAAAAATTTGGAACCTCTTCTGAAGGTGTGGCCTGCTTTCCGGGTCCACTGGTGGAACCTCTTCTAACCAGTTCGGTAGATTTGATGAACCGGTTCTACCGAATAGGTGGGAACTGGTAGGAACCCACCTCTGCTGCTATTAGTGGAGTAGCAGCTAGATCTCTTCAGTTAATTACAGTGCATTGAATAAAAATAGTGGGGAATATACAAAGCACAGCAGTTCATGATATTTACATGACTCAATTTTTTGGGTCAAAACATTCTGGACCATCACAAACTGAACCATAAGCTAACCATGTAGCTTGGGAAGCTAAATTGTGGTTGTATAGACAATTTGTGATACAATCTGTGTATCTCAAAGGGCAGAAACCATTAACCAATTTTGCATGATAAATACATCAACTATAATTATACAAACGGAGCCATGTATGATTATTATATTATGGATAATAAATGCATATCTGATAAACTTGGCTTTCTAGGCCCTTTTTTTATTTTGTATAGTATATGTGTAATATTGATGCTATCACAATTAAAGGTTATGATGATGTTAAAGATGTTAAACTTCTGGAGACCTATGTGATGCAGAATACTATATATTTAATACTTCTGGCTTAATGCAAATCTGCTAGGATAAAATGCTGGGTAGTTTGTGCTGTTGTATGTTGTGCTAATTCATCCACTTAGCTTACATTATGCAAAGTCAAGCAATTAGGCTAGTAGAGTTAACAATTATTCTGTTGTGAGTACACACTCAAAACATACACTTGCTGTTACGTATTCTAAATTCTTTATATTTGTGAGTGAGCAGTTAATATTATTTCCTTTCTCCCTAACTATCCTATTTATGAAAACTAATTTAAGTAAAGGTAAAGGTTCCCCTCGCACATATATGCACAGCGTTCCTGACTCTAGGGGGCGGTGCTCATCTCCATTTCAAAGCCAAAGAACCAGCACTGTCCGAAGACGTCTCCGTGGTCATGTGGCTAGCATGACTAAACGCCAAAGGCGCACGGAACGGTTACCTTACCACCAAAAGTGGTTCCTATTTTTCCACTTGCATTTTTATGTGNTGAAACCCACCACTGGAGTAAAGCCTATGAGAATGTTCTATTCACCTTATTTATTTCTGGCATATGAATAACATGCATCTTCATTGTTAATTTGGACATGGAACTGAAATGCACTTATCTTTTTGTCATATTCCATCTCCCTAACCTACCTCCTTTGAGGTTCGTTTCCTTTTGTCCTCAAATCCAGTTTGATAGTTCCCCTTAGCCCATAGAGAAACCCTGCAAAGGACCCACTAAAAGGCAAATTAGTATATTAATTTGGAAAACGATAGCGTATCTTAGATCAGGATTTGCATTCATTTTTAGAATAGGAACTACACTTAACCAGGGACATGCACACAAAATTAGTTGGAATAAAATAGATGGGATCTGGATAAAAATGAGCTTTAAACAAAAGTACTTTTTTATTTTCTATGTTTGCAATAATTTCCTGCCTTTAAGTAAAGATTAAAAGGGTCAGTGCAGGAGATTCTAGAGGTTTATCCAAAGTGTTTGAGGACTGCATGCAACTCTGATCTCAATTTAGACAATTTAGAAATACTGTATACATTTTAATGCAAATTTTAATCTGCTAGTACAGGAATTTAATAAAAAATGCCTGTATTCTAATGTCAATCCTCCACTGCTTTTCATGCAGTGACTTATTGGAAGTTTTTCCTAGCTTTAAAAAAAATGAGTTTTTCCCAACTTGTGTCTAGGCATATAAGAAGAATGATGTTTATAGAAATGTAATATTTATCAAATGTGATTAGAATCCCCTTTTGATTTGGTGGTAAATTAAATGACCTGCAATGAGATTTTCTTTTTTTTAGGTGGCTACCCGCAAAGCCTATGGTTTAGCCCTGGTAAAACTGGGAAAGGCTAACAAGCATGTGGTTGTTTTGGATGGTGACACTAAAAACTCCACTTTTGCTGAACTTTTCAAACAGGCCCATCCAGAGCGCTATATAGAGTGTTTTATTGCTGAGCAGAACATGGTGAGTCTGAAAACATGAAATTGATTGGTGAATCTTGTGGCATGATCTGTTCCCCTGACATTTTTGTGTGTGTGTGTGTGCTCTAGGTGAGTGTCGCTCTGGGCTGTGCTGCTAGGAACCGCACCATTGCATTTGCCAGCACCTTTGCTGCCTTTTTCACTCGAGCATTTGACCATATCCGGATGGCTGGTATCTCCCGATCAAACATTAAGCTTTGTGGGTCGCACAGTGGGGTTTCTATAGGTATGTGCTGCCTGATATTCTAAACCCCTTTAATTACTATAATTAGACTTAAAGCTTCTTGGTTCTCCAGCAGTGTGAGGAGTGAGAATCATTACAAATTGTTCTCCTTCCTGTTTATTATTTCAGCAATCAATATACTGGATGACTCAAAGTCATCCAGTAAGCTTCTCGACTAAATGGGAATTTGAACATACCGTATTTTTCGAAGTATAAGATGCACTAAGATTTTGAAGAGGCAAATTTTAAAAAAAGTTTTTGCACTCTGCAGACCTCCCAAAAATAGCCCATTTTTCACAAAAATGGGCCCCTTTTTGTCAAAAAAGGGCATGCATAGCCTTTAGGAGGCTTGTAGAGTGGTGCTGAGGGCTAGGGAGGCAAAAATGAGCAAAAAACGGCCCAT